GTGGTTTCACGGTAACTGCATTAACAACTAGAATCACCTGTGGAAGAATTATACTTTCATATTTACACACCTGATACTGAGGCCCCAAAAAGTAAAGAGCGACAGTTGGGGAGTGTAGCTCTTAAGTTGATTTAAGGTTAGTATATGGTGTTTTATGAGAAATAGTTCAATTAATACACTCATGATATTAAAGTGTAAACATTAACCTTCTCGAGCCTAGTGAAGCCGATTGGAATACTTCTCTCAGTATCTCAGAAATGATAGGTAGGGATAAATGAAAAAAAAAGTTAAGTAGAGACTCCATCAATTAGAGTCATCCATAATTCTCACCCAAAGATTTTCCAGAAGTCCTGTAGAACCTTCTCCCTTATTAAATGTTTTGTCACTTCTTCTAGCAGGAGGAGGTCGGGAGGTACCACCCCGGCTAGGACCTGCACAACTTATTGCAAAGTTGCCCTAGATGAACTGATGAACCAAAGCAAAGTTATCTGTCCTCAGAGTCAAAAGAAATACACTCTTTGTACAGATTCCTGTCGAATGTGAAATGCCTCCATAGATGCCAAGCTTCTTCACATTATATCCCAGTCATCTGTGAAGCCAAGGATTTGAGCCAATTTGTTAAATAAGGAGCCTCAAATCTGTACACCTGAGCTTCTAACAGCATATTCCAGTGCCATATTAAACAATAAGCAAGGCTATTACTCTGACAAAGGCCCTTGTACGTTTCAAAATCCTTAGAAAGTCCTCCATCTACTTGGACAGCATACTCCACCTTCTTCATGGCCATCTTTATCAAACACATTAACTTGGAGGGAGTTACCGATTCTAGTAGATTTTGGTATATCTCTTTCCTTATAATACTGTCGTAGGCTTTCTGATAATCAATAAATAGGTGGGGCGTGGTAATATTGTACTTTCTGGCTTTTTCTAAGATTTCTCTTATTGAGAATATCTGATCAACAGTCCCTCGACCTCTCACGAACCCTGCCTGGTACAATCCAATTTCGCGTTCTACAATTGGATGAAGTCTCTGATATAGCACCGTTGAGAATACTTTGTAGCCGTTAGAGAGATATTCCTCAGAAGTTTATGCATTTCAGTAATTTTTATGTAACAGACCAATGACTGTCATATACCAATCATCTGTCATTTCTTCACTTTGTCCTTTGTTCATGACAAGATCATACAAAAATTTTCCACTTTTTCTCCTCCAATTTCAAAAGTTTTTCCGTGAATACCGCCTGCACCTGATGCCTTATTATTTTTAAGGTAGCTTATCGCATCTTGAATCTCCTAGTTATCTGGTGGTTCAAGATTTCACCCTGGGGTATCACAAGTTCGAACAATCGCGGTTCTCCGTTTTTGCTTAAGAGACTGCTTAAGTAATCCCTCCATCGTTCTAGTACCTTCTTTTAATCACTAAGCAGTGTTCCATCAGTGTCTCTACACGCGGCTATTCCTGGGCTTCTGGCTGGTATTAGCCCGCTGATAAAACTTCCTTGTTTCATTTAGATTTTTAAAGTGCTCAATTTCTTACAATTGATCTTGTTACAATTTCTTCTTCTTCTTCTTATAATACAGCCTTTTCTCCATTCTACGCATTATGTGATAATTTTCTACGGAATGTCTTGTGCTTCTTTTTTGTATCATCATAAGGTAGGCAGAATGCTTCTCATCTTGACTGTTGCATGCTTACATTCTTCATTAAACCAAGGAGCTATTCTTCAATATTCTTCTCAGCCTAAGATCTCGCTTGAGACTTCTAAGCTGGCTGATTTAAATGTTAAATCTTCCATCTCTGGCTAATGTCCGGTTCAAAGTATTGGAATTTTCGATCCATTTATTTCATATAAAGAAGTTTTTCCTGAGGATCCCTAAGCTTTTGCTCATCGATCTTTTTTGTGCTTTTATTTGTCATATTACGTTACAGCGATATTCTACCAAGTATTTTTGCAATCATAAGGTAATGATTAGGATGCGGCATGATGATTATAAGGATGTGGTCTATCTGATTAATGATTACACCATCATTGGCTCACCAAGTAGTGAGGTGGGTTCTTTTATGAGCAAACATAGTGCTTCCAATCACTAATTTCCTTGATGCTGCAAAGAAGCCAATGAGTCTCTGACCAATGTCATTAGTTTCTGGTTGTATGCTTTGCATTCCAATTACATGACAAAATTCACGTTCACTTCCAATTTGTGTATTATAGACTCCGATCACAATTTTTATGCCAGCTCTAGGACAATCATCCATACATCTTTCAATATCTTGATAAAATATGTCCTTTTCCTCTTCTAGTGACGGTTCTGTGGGGACATGAACATTAATGATGCTAAATTTATCAAATTTGCCTTTTACTTGTAAATAACATATTCGCAGATTGATGGGTTTGAAATTAATTATCAGCTGAAAGATCTTTTTGCTAATGGATCCGATCCCAAATGTGTGAAATCACTCGTTTCAACTATAATATATAACATGGTGCTTCTAGGAGAATGTCCAATTCCCCGTCCATCTTATCTCTTGGATAGCAATTATGTCCAGTTTGTAATTGTCCAATTGCGTGAGGAGCTGTTCTAGTGCTTCTGGTCGGTAAAGAGAGAGAACATTTCGTGTTCCTTGTTCAAAGTTCATAAGGCAGGCATTATGTTGTTTTCTTTGTATCATATCTTTCATATTTTTGTATATGTTTCTTAATATTTAAAACTTATGGAGAGAGGATTATCAGCTCAGATTCTGCCCCCGAGTCAGGTTGAGAGGCTGCCTTCTTAGAGCATCCTGATGAATTCCACCGTCCGGAGCAGCTAACTAGGGGAGGTGACCCTAGAGTGTGTACTGTATTTGACTTTTGTCTGTAAATGTGAAATGATTTTAGTGTGCTGTATGTATTGTAGTTTTTTGGCGTCAAAGTAGTTGTTTCACTAACCTGATGAGCCTGTGGCTAATTACAGTCGACAGACAGTCTGAATGCATATAAAGTATCTTTTCAGTGTATGCATTATTATTACCTGGGCAATGCTGGTGTATCAGTATATTTCTTACTAATAATTTGATCCATTATCGTTAGTATTTATTTTAAGGATCTGCTTAGAAGAATACAATTGCAATTCATGCTGCCTGACATTGAAATTAAATTATATAAACGTTCCATGATTTTTATATAACTTTTTTTTTATTTACAGCTCTTAGCTCTGGTCAGGTCATACAACAAAACACCGACAGGAGGAAGTGAAGAACCTGACATTGAAAAAGATCACATTCCAGGCTGTCCCTTCTATGATGATAAGTAAAATTTTAAAGTAAATAAATATACTTTAAAGAAAGACTATTGTTATTGAATTTACATTAGGTTGCAGAATAAATACTACTGTTATTAAGTAAGGAATATCGCACAAAAAGAATAGAAATTACTTCCTTTCACATATGCACCACAATATTTTTATTGACGTTCCTCTATTTTTAAAACCCCACATTAGATTTAACTCAAAGTTTGAAAGAAGTTAGCTTTAATAAAAGGCCAAACATAAAAAAATTAACTCATAAATAAACAAATACTGAATGTTAGTGGCCAAAAAACTAACTCATGTTTAGAAACACTTTTGGGAAACTGCAACCAGTATTTTTACTTAACATTGTTTAATTTAATTTAATTAATAGTTACAAGGAACACAACAATATGTAATTTATAGGGTTGAGGAGGGGAAATACTTGGTATAGGGGATTGGAAGAAAATGCATATCTGACTAATAATAATAAGTTTCAGCTTTCAGCTTCGCTTGTGTCTATCCCTCGGATCCTTATCAGTCAGCACAGTGCTTATTAATTGCAGCATTGTGGCAGTTTATATAAACATGCTCCAGTTTATCATAAAATTTGCATATGGGTTTATCATCACTGTCTTTGATCTGACAATGTATGTTTATTAATGCAATTTTAAACCAACACTTCTGGAATATGTCCATCAAAATCCTATAGCTAAAGAATTATATACCCATCAAAGCAGGTAGAAATATGTTCCTAATAATAAAACTGTTACCTAAACAATGATTTCCCCTTCCTTGGCATAAAATAGTGTACTTACATTCCTTTATCAAGTCCTCCCATAGAAATCGGACCTTTAGAAATGTCTAAATTGTCCTTACATTTCATCTTAGAAAGATCCATGAATGTTTGGTATTTTGTGAACTAAAGATGTGTGATTAGAGCATTAAATCAAACATCACACTCTTAGCAAGTCTTAAATTGTCACTATTTTTGCTGCTAACCATCATTATTGGTCAGCGAGTCGATCGGACTTAGCCGGAAGGAATTCGTGAGAGTATATCTAACTCTATATAATAAAAAAGTAGGTATCTTGTTTAGGCGTTCAGTTAAAACACCTTTGAGGGTGGATTGGCCGAATGGGCTAACATGTGTGCACAGCATCGTCCGTTGCCTGGCAACCTAATAACTGAATTAAAGTTGGAAAAATAATTATGAATTCAATTCCGGATGCTCGGTGGGATATTTGACTCGGCATAATTCCACTGTCCTCTCCCCCAGACCGGGAAAAACCATGTGTAGCCTAAAAGGGAAGGAAGGAGAGAGAGAGAGAAAAAAAGTTAAAACAACTTTCTAATTTCACCTTCATATAAAATAAATAAAATTTAATCAAGATGAGTTTAATTTTTGAATGACCCTGTGAATCTGATCTCGATATAAAGATCGGTTATAATCTTTTTACTGCTCAACATAAAAGATTTTTAGCATTTACTTTAAGAGAAAAAGATTAATAAAATTATGATATACGACATCTCAACATTATAATATGCTCAGTTATGATATAATATAAGCAACAAATATACCGAAAAGTTAGAAAAATATCTTCTTTTTTTAAAAATTTATTGCATAAAACCCTAGGAAAATATTTATTTTAAAAAAACTTATACAAGTTATCTATATCTTTGAAGATATTAACACAATAAAAACACTTTATTTCAAAAGAAAAATTGATAACCTGTGAAATCCAGTGCTTGGTTGCAGGGTGTCAGGCAGATACTCAGTTAAGGGTGCAAAATAACCACCATATTCTGGCATCGGAAGAGGATGAGGTTGGGGAATGTCATAACGTTGGTTTTCATCACAGCAAACATTCTACAAAGTGAAAATAAGTTAAGCTTCCAGAGAGATCAAATTATAATTTTAAAAATACATAATAGCGATATTTAAAGGATAATATGAAATAAAAAAATTAATAAATAATTTCTAACCTCACAGTCAACATTAGGACTCATTATCTCTTCTAGAAGACCAGCAGGTCCAGAGGCAGTTCTAATTTTGTCAGCTCCTCTCGGTGGAGTAAAGCCATACCTTACTAAAGTGTCAGACTTACATCTGCAATCATATCACAGGAAATATTTATGTTTCTAAAAGATTACACAAATGAACACAATTTTTTTTTTTTTTTTACTTTTGAAAACCATAAACATTCTTTATTATTTCTACAACAGTTAGATTATTATTAAAACACTTTATTCAGAAATGTTACAATTTGTCACAGTTTAAGGACACTTATAATAGAGTTCAGAGATTACATTCATACCGTATAAACAAAAATATAAATAAATAAAGTAATAACAAAAGAATAAGAAGAAAGAACAAAAGAGTAAAGAAAAAAATATATATATACACATAAGTAAATAAAAATAGAAATAAAAGTAAAACAAACACCTTATATAATTCTACAACAGTAGAATCTTAAATAAAATAAAATTTGAAAATAAATAATCAGGCAAAGTATTTAGTTGAGAATTTATCATTTAAACTAATATTTTTCTATGAGAATTCCTCATACATTTAAATATTTTAAATTATACACAGAATTCTCATTATCAAGGGTTTTTTTTTTTTTTTTTCCAAATTGATTTGGTCTGCTATAGCTTAATTTTCATATTTATTGCAGTTATTTCCTCTTGGAAGAAATTTATATTGAATTGGAGATTGGTTAGGTCATTGCCAACTAGTGAGACAAGGTCTTGGTTACTGCTATCATGAAGAATTTTGTGAGCTTCAGATTTCTGTGACCTAACTGGAACTGCCTCATTATTAATTCAGTTTTTCTTAGTGCCACTAATATGAACAACAGCAGACTCAAACCACAACCTTGGTGAATATTTAATGTGGTCTAAAAATTTTGATATATGTAGTTCCTTTCCTTAACCACATTCCTAATACTTATAGGGTGTATACAAAAAAATGAAAGTTATTCAACCAAATATTGGTATTATTTCTTTGATATAAAATACAATTAATACTCAAAGTATAGTCCATTCTTATCTACCGTCATTAGCCATCTGCTAGCCAATTGCTCGATCCTACAATGATACAATTCTTTAGGATGGCTGTCAAAGAACTCTTGGACCGTAATTTCAACTTTCACAAAACTACCAAATTTTTTCCTTGAAGAAAATGGGCCATGGTTCTAAATAAGTAGTAATCCAATGGTATGATGTCTGGACTATATGGTGGATGAGGCAGGAGTTTCATATCAGAAGGGTTTTCAATAAATTTTCACAAATTTCTAACCTCTTAGCTGATTGTTGAGGAGTAAATTCGCGAGGAACTAGTCTACTGCTCACCTTTTTTCACCTTTCCGATGGAGAGTAGATGGTGCCTAACAGAATCTTTAGACTCAACACACTCCCTGGCAAGTTTGCGAGTACTCGTTTCCTTCATTCAATTCGACTCAACAGCTTCCTTCAGAACATCAATATCCATTAATGGTCGTCTGTTGCCCTTCTTCCTTTCCAATGTCGTATATCCACTGCTAAATTTTTCAAACCAACGCCACGCAGTAAGCTGGTCAAGTACACCTTCTCATTCATATTTATTAGGTTCACGAATTGCTTCAGTGGCAGTGAAATTCTTTTCCAGTAATGCCTTAAAAGGATTAAAATATTTACATTCCTTTGAAATGTTGAATTTGATGAAACGGTCATTTTTTTTTATACACCATATTATTACGACGAATGAGTTTACATAATTAGCTTCCTAGTAAGCGAACTTTCTTCAAGCCCAGGAGTGCTAATTATTTGCAATTATTTTTTCAAAATTTATCAAAAAAGATGAGGTGTAATAATTGAATAGATTTACAATAAATATTAACAAACTATAAGTACCTGGCTGAGTATTCCTTCTATTATATTTGAGAGAGTTATCATGAAATTATGTCCATACCAAGAGTTTTAAATCAGAAAATACAATACCAAAAGATAATACTAACGTCATTTTAGACTGATCTTCTCCTGAGTGCCTCTTAGTATGGATCGTCCCCCGCTCTGTCGCTTGTTCCCTTGGCTCAGGCTGGCCAGGATCTGAATGATTTGATGCCTTCCTCACATTTGTCAATCTGTAAAATGGAGGAGTTTCAGTCCTTTCTATCAGCCAAGAGAGGGTTTCGACAGTATGTAGCTCCACCATCATCTCATCCAACAGCCGGTCAGTCTGGGCACGAGCAAGGTATACTACTACCCTTTTAGCCTGAGAAAATCAAAAGAAATAATTTAAATATTCTCTGATCAGTTAAATAAGAAAAACAAATTTTTTTTTTTACTTATTGCAAACATATATTATTTTTGTTTATTATTTAAATTATTTTAAAAATTTACTTATGGAACAAAGAAACACATACATATTGTAAAAGCTCATTCGGTGCCATTCCAGAGATGATTATAAGATACCTAATGATGACCTTGAGGTTGTTTGGCCAACAGGAACATAAAGTTGCCCATACCTGTTCAACTTCTTTTGCGTGCTCATCAGCAAACTATGAAAACAGTGATAGAAAATATAAGAAATATACCATAAGAGGTCTGACAAATGAAATATTTCTTCATGCAGGAGTTACTAAAAATATTTTTAGAAAATCCAAGACAAATTATTTTTATTTCTTTTTTTAAATTCATAGACTATGCACTTTTTGTAAACTTGAGAATGTAACATGGAACAAATATATATATATTGAATAATACAATAATATTTATTTTGAAATTAAAAAAAAATCAAAAATCAATATTTATAATGATGTAGAGATGGTTGACCGTTGATATAATATGAGAAGGAGTTAGTCGGGGGTGCGGTCAAATAAATACTAAATTAAAATATAGTAATTATTTTATTTTAATTTTGCCAGTTATTATTTTGTTTTAATTTTGATTGCCAGTGTTTCAACTGCCTCCCGCAGTGCTACATCCTACGCCCTGAAGACGACCTGCAAAGTGGGTCGAAACGTCGGCAAAATTAAAATAAAATAATTACTATATTTTAATTTAGTATTTATTTGACCGCACCCCCGACTAACTCCTTCTCATATCAATATTTATAGATTATGTTTGTGATTTATAATATTTTCTATTATCAATCCTAATCAGGATTGCTCCATCATACTGTATAACCAACTAACAAAACTTTTCTTGATATGGTGATCACTGCAAAACATGAGGATATGAAGTATACAAATATATAAAAGAGTGAAAACTGAAAAATGAATTTGAGATAAAAGATGATCAACCATAAATAAGTCCTCATACCTGTATTATGAGTTTTAAAAATGAATCTTCACATCTTTACTTAAATAAAAGTTTATTAATATAAGAAAATTATAATGCAGACTAAATTTGTGACCAATGTGTCTTTTAGTAATTTCAAAACTATCTTTTATTATTTTTGAAATAGTAATTATTTTTCTTAAAATATCAGTACCTTTCAACATCTATTTGTATTATGTAAAATTCAATCCAATCATTGAAAAGTAGAAGACATTTCTCTAAGGATAAAGTGTTTTTGTCTATAAAGATTTTTTTATTTATTTTTTTATTTTAATGAGATTTACAACTGTATTACATAGAAAATACAATAAGTAAATGTGACATTGGTAACATGACATGTACAACATGAAGAGAAACTACCCATTGGTAGAACTCAAATTAAAGTTCTATATTAGAAGGTCCCGAGGCCATCTTCTTTTCAGACGCCTCGGAGGATTATCAGGGAACGAGGAGGAAGCAAGGTTTGAAACGAGAGGATTCGGATGGTTCTGCAGTTTGTTATGGAAGGATAGGTATCTGGATTGGGCCAAATCAGAAACATATGGAACATTAAGGTCTTTATGGATGATTTTATTTGTGACAAAGTAAGGAGCGTTGAGGATTTTATGAAGGATTTTGGATTGTAAGGATTGGATACGAGAGGAATTTGATGGTTTAGTGGAGCCCCAAAGCTCAATTCCGTAAGTCCAAATAGGTCTTATTATTGTCATATATAAGAGTCGTTTGTAATTGATTGAAAGCTTAGAGCGTTTGTCTAGTAAGTGCTGCAGTAGTCGAAAACGTTGGGCGGTTTCTAGTCGTTTCTGTCTGGTAGAGGGGTTCCAAGTGAGTCGTTTGTCAAAGTGGAGTCCTAAGTATCGGATTTGTTTGACAGGGATAAGAGGACTATTGTTGAAGGATACTGTAGGACAGGAAGTCATAGGTTTACGACGAAGAGTGAAGGTAATTTGATAGATTTATTGGAATTTATTTTAATCCTCCAGTTTTGACACCATTTTTCAAGACTTGTGATGTGTGATTGAAGATTTTGGGATGCAATAGATGGATCGTTATTAACTGATAGGATACACGTGTCATCGGCATAGGTGGTGATGACAGTGTTGGATTGGGTTGGGATGTCAGCTGTATAAACTGTGTAAAGAATAGGACCTAGGATACCAGCTTAAGGAACACTGGCAGACTGAGTAAAAAGAGATGAATAAGCATTGTTATGATTGACTTTGAAGTATCTGTCAGTAAGGTAGGAACGGATAATGAGGAAGTATATAGGTGGTAGGAATTTACTGAATTTGTACATCAGTCCCGGATACCAGACTCTATCAAACACCTGTTCAACGTCGAGAAAGACTCTCGTGCAGTACATTCCGCGCTGGCATTGCTGAATAGTGGAGTGGGATGTGCGGAATCCAAATTGATGATCTGGGATAATGTGTTTAGAGTCTAGGATGGGATACAGGCGTTTTAAAATGATTTTTTCCAGGATTTTGCCCATAATGGGTAAAAGAGAGATAGGACGGTAAGAGGATGGGTGTTCTGGCGGCTTTATGGGTTTAGGTATCATTTTGACAATGGATAGTTTCCAAGAGTCAGGAAAATATGTGGTTCAGAGTACAGAATTAAATATATAGGTTAGGAACAGTATGGCTTTTTTAGGAAGAAATTTTAGATCTATAAAGGTAATATTAAAATAAAATCAATCTTGCTCTTTAACAGAATTATGGTTTTGTGAGCAATATTTTTTCAAAGTGCAGATATAGAGCTTAGTCTTTAAGCCCAAGAGGCTCAGTGATTCCTGTTCCGGGTCTAACCATATATTGTGGTACTGTAACTGGTTGGTACTGATACAGGTGGGGGGAAACTAATCCGGCAAGTGGGCCCTATTGTGGTCCTTTTTGCCAACTCCTGACAGCTACCTTGAGGTTGCTGCTATATACTTACCATAGTGGGAATGCCAAGATTCATTTCCTGGAGCCACCAAGCACTGAAAATTAACTGACCCAGTTAGGAATTGAACCCACAATGTTCTGGACCAGGTACTCTGGGACCCACAGCCTAACGTGCTCGGCCATCCCGTCCTCCATACATTGCGGTGCAACAATCCATTACTGAATAAGTCATTTACAAAAATGTAAAGTGGACAAAAAAACAAACAAAAAACACCAATTTAACTAATAGTAGCAAGCATTAATGCTTAAAAAGAATATTAAAATAATTAGAGCTTAAACAAACCTTTGCAGTGATATAAAACAGATTATTTAAAACCATTTCTGTAGCTTCAACTGATCCCCATCCTTCACGTTTCAAATTAGATCGGCTATCATTGACACACTGAAAGAAAAAATACAATTTATTTATCATAAATTAATTTATTTCTTATTTAAAATAACTATTGCAATTGGGGACATTAACATACAAATATACTGCTTTTTTTTTTTTTTTCTAAATTGTATCATTTCCTCAAATTGGCATATGAAAAAAAAATAATAGCTATATAAAAAAATAAATAAACAAAATAAAGAGCGAATTTTATAAAAACAATTTTATTGCTTTAGGCTGTAATAAAACAACTGGATTCAAATTTGAATGGCTTTACAACGGTAATAGTACATAAATTATCTTAACAGTATTACGAGTGTCTGGTCTTAAGGCCAGGCTACCAGGACAGCTGCTCTGGGGTGCCGAGCAGGAGGGAGACGCTGGACAGTAGTCATGAAAAAAAAAAGCAACTAAATAGTGTATAAGAATAATTAATTTTAACCTTTTAACAACGTGACTGAATTAAAGACATATTGAATTAAATAAATTGAAAGATTAATATTACAGATATAAAAAGTTTTATGAAATTAATTAAATTTTTTGGGCGGAGATGATGTCATTATCCGGCGACACTAAGTGTCCAAGGCCGTCACTGAGAGTTACAGACATTACAGTACATAAATTATGTAGTTCATAAATTATCTTCAATACTAGTGTTATGAAAGAGAGTTTATCTTATAAAAATAAACTTAGTTCAAATTTTATTTCTTATTATTAATTTGTAATTATTATTTTTGTGATAATTAACCATATCAGCAATAAGAGGGAATCTTTTTTTTTTTCTTAATTAAACATAAAAGTGGACTCATTAAAGTTTTGTAAATTAAAAAAATAATAATAATACCAATTCATATCATTAACTATTCAACATTACATCGGCAGTTTACATATTTCTGTATTTTTTTTCTCTTAAAATTTTTTTTTCTTTGTTCTGTATTTTTCTTATTCTTTCTTGCTTATTTTTCCCTCATCTTGAAGCATATTCGCTTAATACACTAGTAGATACAAAATTTATTTTGACAAAAATATAGCCATCTAGATAAATATTAATAATTTATAAAATAATAATTAAAAAAAATATTATTACAATATTAATAGAACTCTGCAAATATAATATAAAAGTTATGCCTATGTTTGATTTCACAGATCATTTAGTCAGCACCTATTCTGTATTTGGTCATATTTTACCTGCAATAGTTTATGAAATAGACATCAAAAAAAGTTTAAAAGATATTTTAGTGACTGATGCTAGAACTTATCAGCAATAATTTAATATTTATCATTATATTCTCACTAATTATGGGCCAAGTTGAAAAAAGATGATTTGTGACAATTTAGGAAAAAATTGAAGCAGATAAAGATGTAAAGTGATATATCTTTTTCTTCCATTCACATGAATTCAGCATTTGGCATACAATTTAGTTAATGAAGTTTTGAAGAGAAGAGGCAATTCTCCATTATATTGGTTAAAGGTCATTTGAATTAAATTTTCTCAGACCTTCCATGATGTTACTTATTACTACTGCCTGGATTTATATGATAATTCATATAATTACAAATATATATATATATATATATATATATATATATATATATATATATATATATATATATATATATTCAATATTAGTAAATATATGTTGGCATTAATCTAAATTTGTCATTCTACTGAGTATTTCCTCCCAAGAGAGGAGGAAAGTCGCTATTAGAAGTTAAAATAATATATATATTTTTTTTTTTATTTATTTATACATGATATTTACAACTGTATTAAAAAATTAAATACATTAAGTAAATTTGATAACAGAAAATAAAAACATGAAATGACTTGTTGAGAAACTACCCACTGGTAGCACTCTATAAAAATAATATATAAATTGTAAATAGGTAAAACATAAAAGTGAAATATATTGTTTGTTTTTTAAATGTTTTTGTAGTTCAATATTTGATATCATATAATACTGCATATCATCTTTCTTTATATGGCATATTATTTTACTTTTTAAGGCATATAGCATGGTATATTTCAATGGTTTTTGTTGTAAATAAATCCTTTCCTTTATCCAATTGACCCTTCAAATGAAAATGAAAAATTAAAATTTTTTTTTTTTGTTTAAGCGAAACTCCAATTCACTTGATGCAGTAAATCACTTATGTTCAATTTGAAACATTTATTAAAATACATCGAAAAATTACCTGGTAATAGGATAGTGGGTTGCTTGGAGGGACATTTGGATCTACTAGCTCCATGTTGTGAAGCCAAGGCAGCAAATACTCAAGTAAAAGTTGACGAACATCTGGTCTAGCTGTCTGAAATCTGTGAGTGATTTCTGAAAAAAAATTTAAAAGATTCTTAAGAAAGACGTTCTAAAAAGTCATTACCAATGTTTTAGTAGACAGGCAAAATTTTACTTGAATCTGCATTTCCTAAAAGCAGAAGGGGGCAGAATCTATCTATCACTATTTAAAATTTATAATCTGCTGATTTGGAAGATGATAGAAAATGAAATAAGGTATTGAGAATCCTTGATGTTATATTATTATTGTGAGAAAGTAAGACTGGTTGAGTTAAAGGATGGTGGTGCTGCCAATTTATATATATATATATATATATTTTTTTTTTTTTTTTTCGGTTGGCTCTACAGACCTTGTAGATCTTTGGTCGCCTGAACCAGCCTTCTCCACCTCTGCCTATCTTGGGCTACTGCTTTCCAGTTTGCTGCATGAAGCTCAGCCGTATCTTTGTTTATCCTATCTGTCCATCTGGTTTTTGGCCTCCCACGTGGTCTCTTGCCTACTACTCTGGCATTCGTTGTTGTGTAGAGGCGTCCTGATGGATTACTACGAGCTACATGCTCTGCCCATCTTAACCTCCTTGCCTTCATGTCATGAGGTATTGACTGACCCATTTATTTCAACAGTTCTTTATTGTTCCTTCTCCTCCATGTGTCAAGGTTCTGGTCCCATATGGGTCCTGTTATCCTACGTAGTACTTTTCTTTCGAATCTCTCAATTCTGGCTTAATCACGGAGTTGTACACCCTTATTTTGAGATTTCTGGATTTCAGTACCTTGTTTGCACTTGTTATTCGCGGGTCTATCTCTGTTAGTTGATCATTGATTGAGGTTATTGTGGAGCCGAGGTATTTGAATCTGTCTACTTTCGGGAATGACTTAGAATCCACGCAGATCATGTTATTAGGGTGGATGTTTCGGCTATCTATCATGTATTTTGTTTTATCTACATTGACCCGTAGTCCAATTTGCTCTGCTTCTTTTAATAGAGTCCGAGCGAGTCTCTCAATATCCTCTTTATTACTTCCGAGGACAGCTGTATCATCAGCATATGCTAGGATTTTATGTTTCATTCCAACATGCACCCCTCCATCTTCGCGTGATGTTATTCTTATTATTTTCTCTAGTGCTAAGTTGGACAGCATCGGCGAGATTATATATATATATATATATATATATATATATATATATATATATATATATATATATATTTATTTATTTATTTAAGATAAGAAATGAGCTTGTTACAGGAACAGATCTTCTCATAAGTTGACATTTTTTATAATTGACAAAAATTCAACTTCTTCCATGTTACAAAAGATTTTATATTAATATAGTATCAATATTCGATCTAGTAGGTAATAGCTTTGTTTAAAGACCTGCTATATTTCTTAAAAATAATAATCATTCTATTGAGGATATTGGAGCTGGTTTGCATAAAATCTCCTCCACATAGAACGCGATGTGTCTCGACAATACGATATCTTCTGTCGGTATAGCTGCGGATTATCGCGCTTTGTCTGACTCTTATAATGCAAATAGATAGTAATGCAACTATAGCGCCATGTCGACGCCGACAAGAACATCGTATCGCCGAAACAAATCGCACTCTGTGTGTAGGAGCCTTTAGAGGTAGGTTGGCCAACTGAATTTTAGTTTCAGAACGCCACCTTCTCACCTGATAGCAACCGACTCCATATATAGTAATCACAAAGTATTTATTGTCATGTAATCTTCCAAGGCAGACTTTAATAACAAAGTGTTTTTTTTTTTCCCCCTCAATTTCCTACGTTTGTTTCTTTTTCTCTAACACCATAAAACCTCGGACTGTGGTGCTGAAAGAAGAAACTGCTCAGTACTGCATGCGAAAGATATATATATATATATATATATATATATATATAAAAACTATTCCTTTTAGCACATTTTACTTAATGACACAAAACAACACGTTAAGAGAAGAAGGAAACTCGGAGCACGAGAACCGTCAACCTTGGACATCGCAATCAACTCAATATAGCCAAGAAAGTGAGGCCTCTTATCCCACCGTGGAGCTTTAGGTAATTACTCAGCCGAGGCGATGACTGGGACAAATAGTGCGGCAGAAATTGAACCATGGCGTGCCCCAAGGCAGTCACAGATAATGTCCAAGTCCACTCTTGTAACTGCTATCTATCGATCTAAGATATGACTGTTGTAGGAACAGGTTCTAGAATATATGGGAAGGCACATCAGTTGTTTCTAATAGTTTCTTTTCTTCAAACATCTCATTTTTAAAAATATATATTTTTAAAATCAATATATCTTCTTCTAATTAAGACGTATTTTCCTTGGTTCCTCTTTGATGAAACCCAACTCCAAACCGCCGTATGAATATTTCCAAAACAACGAATTTTTAAGGCATGACATTAAACCAAATTGGATCAACTGACGTAGCGATGAGGGTATAATTGTTTTTTCCGCACCTTGTAAAACTCTTACATGTGAATATTTCCAGCCATAACAATAAATAAAATTAGACTAGTTTTTTTTCGAAACCATACAAATTGTAATCCACCTAGCCACACGAAAATTATCAGGAATTTAGGGTTCTGTGTCTAATATTTTAAGATGTAGAATCACCGACGATATACTAACCGTTTGAGGTATATTGTTCTGATGTTCCGAAATAAAACTTTCTGCAGTTTTTTTTTTACAAGGGATTTCATATACCATATTTGACTATAGTCAGGGGTGTCCATCCCTCCCCCTAAGGTCGATGGCGCAAGGGCGTAACCCCCACCCCCCTACCAAGATATTTTATTGCTCTCCTTTCCGTAAAAACAGAGCAGCTAAGGTAGAATTAGAAAATTCGTAGATCATATACAATTACACTTGCTGCGGTATATTCCATATTTTCCCCTTTTCCTTAGTCCGAAAATTCACAACCCCGTCAAAATTTGACTCCCTCAAAAATTAAAAAATCTGTCAAAATATACTTCCCTCAAAACTTTTGATGGCGCCATCAAATCCCCTTCTGGGCACCCCTGACTGTAGTTCTAATTTATGTGCTTTGGTTTTACTGAATAGCCTTCATAAAGTAATAGTATTGGTTTATTATTTTCAATAATGAAACATTGTGATCGACCAAGAAATTATAAAAACATAACCCCCTCTCAAAATTTGAGGTTTCACGTTTCAAGACGCGTAGAATTCGAAAAACGAATAAAACATTTTTTGTCCGTCCGCCGTGCGCCGTCCGCGCATTTTCTCCGAAACTACTGGACCGATTTTTTTTTCAAATTTTGATATAAAATCAGAGGTCACCCGAGGATGATCCTTCTTCATCGACATTATTCTCCGCCTTCAACTTTCAAAATGGCAGTCGAAAAACCTGCGTTGCTATATACTGTAGCGCCTAAACGAATGTACCGATTTCAATGAAACTTCGCTAAGGTCATTTTCTCGATGCCCTTTAAATTTATGTAAATTGCATACTTCAACGAAAAGAAGCTGGAAAAAAAGTTACGAGGGATGGTAAAATTAAATTCCGAATAACTCGAAAAGTTTTTACTTTTTTGTTGATATTGTTTATAGTTTTTTTAAAAGTTTACGAAATTTCCTAAAAAACGAAAAAAAAATCGTTAAAATCGGACAATTAGGAGCAAAGATATGGTCTCCGGTTTTTTTTTTATGTGTTCTACTGCAAATATTATATCTTTGGTTTGGTTCTTAAATTTTAAATGTGTTACTGAACTAATGTTATTTTTTTTTAGCATATTTCTAATTATTAAATAAAAATAGTTTAGTCCAATAATTGGAATCACCTTTTTTTTTTTTTCTTTGTAACTTGGAAGGTAATGTTACTTTAGATATATAATTGTTTGGAGATAATAAACCATTGTGAAATAATTTGCAGCGTTTTTTTTTAATGTGATGGCATAATTATTCGCTTTATTTTAAATATTTGTTTATATAGTAATGTTTGTGATGTTATTGTGTAGTAATAATTGTAACTCTTATAAAGTTTTTTTTTTTCCACCGTAGATGATGAATATGAAAACAATCGAAAAAAAGTCTTGAAACATCGCCAAACTCTTTTTTATTGATAGAAGCTCAAGATCCACAGAAAAAAAGATATATATATATATATATATATATATATATATATATATATATATATATATATATTTTTTTTAATACTTAAATTATGAGAATCAGGTAGAAGCTTTGGTATTTGAATTAGATGGCATTGAATACCTAAACCGATTACTGGAATACAAGAGAAGGTAGGAGAGCAGGACTCTGGAAGCCTTCCAAGCCATCCCTCAGGAAGAAGAGGCAGATCGCCTCCTGCGGCTATTAGTCAGCCGAGGAGCTGTGGTTGCCCTATCCCGATCGCCAAAGGATGAACAATCTCGATGCTAATTCTCTACCTTTGAGCTACAAGTGGCTCACTTTAGTCGAAATTTATCCCGACATGGACTGACTTATTTAAGCTGTTTACGTTATTTGTTCGTTACAGATAACTCTTTCTTGTAAAACTCTAATAGAATATAGAATCAAGAACTTTATCAATGATCCCATCCTTTGTGATACTTGGACCATTTGTGGTCCGGGGCGTATTATTGGTAAAGGCTCCCAAAAAAAAAAAAATGAAATAAAATTTTAAAATTCGTCATTTTTAATAAATAAAAAACAATAACGTTTCCGGCAAATATAAAACAGAAGTATGATTTTTTTTCAGTAAAATTATTCAATTAAGAAAATAAATAAAAACTAGTTGGCCCGTGCGAATAATACGCAGAAAATTTTGTTTAGTGAAGAAATAGAAAAACAATATGGAAATAAGTAAATCTTATGTATTTATGAGGAAGGAATTAATATTTTTTTCTCGGACGATACCAATATTCCATTTAACATAATAAACCAAAATATTTGTACAAATTGCTTTGCTAGGACCTATTTTTAAACGCTGAATGGAAAGATAATAAAAGTAATAAAACCAAATAATGCTCCGCTAATGGGATTTCGTTTAGTGAAGAAATAGAAAAATAATATAGAAATAAGTAAATCTTATGTATTATTTGAGGAAGGAATTAATACTTTTTTCTCGGACGTTACCAATATTCCATTTAACATAATAAACCAAAATATTTGTACAAATTGCTTTGCTAGGACCTATTTTTAAACGCTGAATGGAAAGATAATAAAAGTAATAAAACCAAATAATGCTCCGATAATGGGATTTCGTTTAGTGAAGAAATAGAAAAATAATATGGAAATAAATAAATCTTATGTATTATTTGAGGAAGGAATTAATATTTTTTTCTCCGACGATACCAATATTCCATTTAACATAATAAACCAAAATATTTGTACAAATTGCTTTGCTAGGACCTATTTTTAAACGCTGAATGGAAAGATAATAAAAGTAATAAAACCAAATAATGCTCCGATAATGGGATTTCGTTTAGTGAAGAAATAGAAAAATAATATGGAAATAAATAAATCTTATGTATTATTTGAGGAAGGAATTAATATTTTTTTCTCCGACGATACCAATATTCCATTTAACATAATAAACCAAAATATTTGTACAAATTGCTTTGCTAGGACCTATTTTTAAACGCTGAATGGAAAGATAATAAAAGTAATAAAACCAAATAATGCTCCGATAATGGGATTTCGTTTAGTGAAGAAATAGAAAAATAATATGGAAATAAGTAAATCTTATGTATTATTTGAGGAAGGAATTAATATTTTTTTCTCCGACGATACCAATATTCCATTTAACATAATAAACCAAAATATTTGTACAAATTGCTTTGCTAGGACCTATTTTTAAACTCTGAATGGAAAGATAATAAAAGTAATAAAACCAAATAATGCTCCGATAATGGGATTTCGTTTAGTGAAGAAATAGAAAAATAATATGGAAATAAGTAAATCTTATGTATTATTTGAGGAAGGAATTAATATTTTTTTCTCGGACGATACCAATATTCCATTTAACATAGTAGACCAAAATATTTGTACAAATTGCTTTGCTAGGACCTATTTTTAAACGCTGAATGGAAAGATAATAAAAGTAATAAAACCAAATAATGCTCCGATAATGGGATTTCGTTTAGTGAAGAAATAGAAAAATAATATGGAAATAAGTAAATCTTATGTATTATTTGAGGGTGTAGATAATGGGATTTTCTAAATTATTAAAAAAATAAAACGTAAAAGCAAAGAAATACCTTTAAAAAATAATAAAGTTAATATACCAGCCAGGAAAAAAAGTATAGTATACTATTCTACTTCTGCATGCAATATCTTTAAACAGGAAGATATTATTAAGTATGCCAAAACTAATGGACTGTATCTTTGTCAATAATTGTCCGAGTTTTACGATTTTTTTTCTGTTTGTAGGTAATTTATTAATCTTTCTAATTGTCATGGGTACAATCAAGAAAAAAATGCATACTTTTTGAGTTATTCGCAAATAAAGTTTCTTTTCTTTCATAACTTATTTTCCGAAAATTCCGGGGAATAGGACTATTTTTAGAATGTGAAGGAGAAGAGTATTTTCAAAATGAATGGTCAATCATTGGATTAGATGAAGAACTGACGAGTTATGGCATACCGGCAAAAAAAACAAAAAAAACACCTTATAGAAATAATATATAGGATTCCTTCTAGTAAGTACAATATTTGTGTAGACATTCATCTGTGAATTTTATACAACGCCTTATACCTAAGAACAGCACAAGATATTGGACATGATATTTTTTTCATATATTTACAAGATATCAAGTAAAACCAAAAATGCTATTACAATAAACTTATAATTTACTTGTTTTTTTACACCTATACTATTACTTGACAAAAGGATAAATAGATAAACATACTGAATAAATTGTATATTACCTGAGAACATAGGCATGGTTAGCTCCGGGTGGAGCTGGGAGAGGTGTCTGGAGAGGCGATCCTGAGATCTGCAGTAGGAGGAGGAAAGGAGCACGTCCAGGGTGCTACCTCCCTTATCATCTGTCTCTGTAACAAACATTATAATATATATATATATATATATAAATGTACATATATATATTAACCAGGAAATAAACAAAAAAAAAATATACATATAACCAGGAAATAAAGAAAAAAAAAGGCACACTGAGGTTTGCGTGTATACACGGGCGGATCTACGAGGCGGGAGGCTTTCGAGCTGAAGCCCTCCCCCCCCAAATGGTAAAATATAACCAAGTTTTCTGGAAAAAAAATTTAAAAAATACCTCTTAAAGTATTATTGTTCGTGTAAGTACATTTAACAGGACTTAAGGAATCGCTTAAACACCATTTAAAATAGGTAGTTAGTTTCTTTATTTATTTTTTTCAAAGTAATTGTCGTTATTTTTATGAAAAAAAGAGGTTTCGGGCTGAAGCCTCCCCCTCCCCCAAAATTAAATCCTGGATCCGCTAGTGCGTGTATATAAAAAAATATCTAAGGGCGCCGCATATTTGGAAGAGCGGCAGATATGATTTTATTTTAAGTACTCCACACAAGCGGGACGGACATTGTCTTCCGTATATTCAGTTTGAGCGTTAAATCAAAGGGCCCCGCTTGTTTGAAATATCAGTTTGCGGTACCTTCAATGTGTGTATAAAATAAATACACACAATGCCTTGTCTTTGGCTATAGGACATGTTTTGAACTTTTTTGTGGAGAGTGAATTAGATTTCCGTCAGATTTTTTTGAACACAGAAAAGTTCAAAACACGCCTAAAGAAGTTTCCACTTCAAAACTGATTACAGTCAATCCTAAACAGCTTCAAAGAACATAGCATTTTTTTCTAAACCCAACAGGAAGCGAACTATCGAGTTTTAAAATTGAGTAAAGTTTTGAAAATTCGCAAAAACATACATAGTTGTAACGTCTCCATACCACTTCCCCTCTCCGACACAGTTCGGTACGTTGGCTTCCTTTTAGACAAAAGATTAACATGGAAGCCACATACCAGATTTAAAAGACAACAGCTTAACCGACGATAGGGCCAACTATGCAGACTACTCAATAAAAAATCTCAACTTGAGAACAAACTATTAATCTACAAGACAATCCTGAAACCTATCTGGACCTACGGACGCTAACTGTGGGGGACAGCAAAACTTTCCAACATCAAACGCATTCAATCCTTCCAGTCTAAATTTCTCCGAACGATAGTCGATGCTCCCTTTTATGTAACCAATAAAACCTTACACAATGACCTTAGTATCCCATTTGTACTTGACCTAATCCCAGACAAATTTTCCAAATTTCACCAGAATCTCACTCATCATCCTAATCCTGTAGCACAGTCTCTATCTACTTCCAGTCATCCCTACAATCCTCCTCGGAGTTTAAAACGGCAGTGGCCCCGCGACCTTTTGTAAAAATGTATATATTGGAGTACTGGCACTGGCCAGATTCTTCACTCATGTCCTGAGCGTCTGTTGCTCTAGTGCTCTCCATCAGCCTCCACTGGCTTACTATACCAGTGACGTGCTGGGAGAGAAGCACTGGGATCTCATGGAGTCCTGCTTTGGCTTCCACAGTTGGGGGACAAAGCTTGATTCGGAGTATCCTGGGCCAATGCAAATATTGTACATAGGTGTGAATGTGTTTTATTTGTTTTGTTATTACTCGGCTGGTCTGTTGTTTTAATTATCTTGTATATTACTTTATCTTTTTATTTATATATATATATATATATATATATTTTTTTTTTTTGTTTCATGTACAAATTGTGTGAATGCATACTATAGCACTAGTACCAATGCCCTTCAGTGTGGCAGACTGTATTAATACTCAATAAAAGTTTTCTTACAATAAAGTTGTAACGTCGCTCAAATTTTTAAATTAGATATTAAAGCACAAACAATTTATTACAGGTTTTATAGGAAACCTATTTTTCTAAACTTAACAACATAAATACAAATCGCTAAAAAGAAATTGCTGTATTTAAATTTGATAAAATCCTTGTAATTTAATTTTTACTTTTTCCACTTATTTTAATGAAATTAGTCATCAACAATTACTGTTTTTCTTGTTGAATTAATATGAACTTTATTCTAACACAGTTTTTAAAAATTAATATTATTGAAATTACATGACTTTGTGTTGTCACAGATTGTTACCATCTCAAGACTGTTTTGATTTTTTCACAATAGTTTTAAAGAGTGTAAAAAACGGCACTGGCATAGGTGCCTAGAGTACTATTATATGACTATTCAGGTTATGTATATATTTTACAATAGTTTATGAGACAGAAAATTATATGATTCAATTCCGGAAAGTACATACAACTTAACTAATCTCTAAGAATAAATATATACATATAGTTAAATTGCTGAATTGAGTTTTACTATTATAAATGTATAATTTTTACAATAGAGTTCTTCTTAAATGCAAAAGAATATAGGAATTTAAAAAAAAATTGTTTTGGTCAATTGAATTATTGTCTTAATATTTATTTGTTATTAAAATAAAAATAATGTACTAAAAACGTTATTACAGCACTATAAACATGTATTAGTACTGAATGGTATCGCTAAGGATTAGTGTTGCCCAAACGCAAGACCAAGACGAAACCGATGCGGTCTTGGTCTAGGTCTTGTGTCAACAGACCTTGGTCTTAGTCTTGCGCAAGAGTCTTGCAGTTACCTCTCAGCTTATTACTATTTATTAAATATGTTACTTTAAATCTTCGAAAAACGCTAAAAAATAAGTACATTTAGATGTTTTATTGACGTAAACATAGTGTAGTCCAACTAAAGCAATTATCCATAACTTCAATAAAAATCGTTATCATTTGGTTTTTGACACTATTTTTCCTTTTCGTTTTTCTAACTCGGCGTCGGGTTCAGATAAATTTTGAATAATAGCCCATTACAGAGAGGTTGGAATTCTCTCGCTAATAGTATGCAGATACGATTTTTAATTTTTGAGATATTTTAATCCATCTGCGAAAACACTTCAATTAGTCGATTCTAGCCGACTTTACCCCGGCGTTACACGGAGACGAAAAGGAAAAATAGTGTCGAAAACCAAATGATAACGATTTTTATGGAACACTGGGTAAAAATATCTCAGAAACTAAAAATCGAACCTGTTTACTGTAAGCAAGGGAATTATTTAATATTTCATCCTGCCTATAATGGGTCATTATTCAAAATCGTATCTTAACGCGACGCCGTGTTAGAGAGGCGAAAGGAGAAAAAATATTGTCAAAAACTAAATGAAAACGAGTTTTATTAAAGATATGGATTAAAATCTCTCAGAAACTAAAAATCGGACCTGTATACTGTAAGCGAGGGAAATACTCATTATTCCATTCCCTTCATAATGAGCTATTATTTATAATTTATATTTCATATAATTAATCTAACCTTGTTGATGTTTTTTCTTCTATCGTGTGGTCTAAAGCACACACCTTAGTTTTTTTAATTTACTTATTTAATCAAGTAAATTTTCTATCTATGTCGCTTCAAAAAGAAGATATTCAGCGTAAACTAAAAAAACGTTCGAAATGTTAATGGTTTTTGGAAGACTTCAGCGAACCCTCAAGAGCGGAAACTTGGTTTAAATACACTGACAGGCAAAAAATTCCATCCACTTGATTTTTCCATGTTTTCATCTAAAAATATTTCTGTAAAGTTGTATTTGTATATAATACTTAGTATTTATGGAATTTTATAATCTTTTTTACCTTTAATAATCATAATGTGATTGGATAAAAAAGATTAGAGAAAAAAAAATTGAAAAACGAACCATTATTATTCTAAAGGAAATTAATTACATCATCGTTTAGTAGCGCGTGTTTCCTCCTCTTGCCTTCACTACTTCTTGAAGACGCCTCGGCATACTTCCCACCAGTCGGGAAATGTCCCTTTTTTGGAGGATAGCCCATTCCTCCCGAAGAGCCCATTCAAGATCCTGCAGTGTATCAGGAAGTGTTGCACGCGCTCTTATTCGTCTTCCGAGGTTATCCCATAAATGCTCAATGAAGTTCAAATCTGGAGAACCTGCTGGCCAGGCTAAAACCTCAATATTGTTCTGTTGAATGGACGTCTGCACTATGCGGGCAACATGTGGGCGTGCATTATCGTGCATTAGAATAGAGCGATCGCCGATTTCGTTAAGGGTAGGCAACACATGAGGTTCCAAAATCTCATCTACATAGTGAATGACCGTCAAAGACCCTCCACGAATAACAACCAATTCTGCGCGGCGCTCCATTGAAATCCCAGCCCACACCATTAAAGAACCACGTTGGAAAGGTTTGCTCTGGGAAAAATTACAGGCTCCATATCTTTCGTTTCTTCTTCTCCACACCCTTTCACGCCCGTCTGGAGATCGAAGAGCGAATATTGACTCATCTGTAAAAAGTACAGCACTCCATTCGTCCTCTATATTAACATTCCTAATTGAAAACAAACAAAAAGATTACCTATTTATTCATTAAAAACAATAGAACAATCCAAAGCAGAAATATTTTTAGATGAAAACATGAAAAAATCAAGTGGGTGGAATTTTTTGTCTGTCAGTATATATCCACTTCATACCTAAGAATATAATAAAGAAATTGGAATTTCTCTACATTTTGCAAGCTAGACCCATATTTTTTGTGCTAATTTGACTGTGCTAGTTTTTCTTTTTCAAATTTCAAAGAAAAAACTTGCTTAAACTTAAATGGACTCAGCCAAGATCTCAGGTGAACATGAATTATTCCTATTTGAGGAATTATCTTGATCTGCTTATTTGAGCTCTGCTAAAAATAAAATAATCATTAATTTATTATTTTTTTTTTTTGATTTCCAGATATTCTAGAGCCTTCGATTAGAAAAGTATTAACAATCCCCAATTTCGAGATTCTACAAGGATAGGTGAGCCGAAGCTCGTGGCTTCATCCAGAGCTTGAAATGATATTGCGGTAATTGGCTGTCGGCGGTGTATCGCCTCGGGGGACAGGATAATGGGCCTTATATTCAAGGCAGCAACTGTCGCCGCTTGTTTCT